TATTACTGTCTCTGTTTCACAAATGGAGAAACTGAGGTACAGACCAAATAATGAAAAGTGATCTCTGATTATGGGTGCCTCCAATTTTTGAGTTCACTCCAAGCTGTGAGTGCTCAACCCCTCTGAAAATCAGGCTCCAGGTTTCTCAGGGTGGACCTGGTCTGAAATGTGCTCAAGGCCACACAGCAAGTTACTGGCAAAGCTGGAAGTAGAATCCAGATCTCTTGCTTCCCAGACTGCCACCCTATCCGCGGGACAACTCTGCCTCCATTACATTCTGGGGATGTGATATCATCCACTATAGAATAGCCTCTGTGCTGGTGTTGGTCTCCACTCAATTATCCTCCTTTTCATTAAGTGAATGCAGCTAATGCAGAGTTCTGCTCCTGCAAACTCATTGGGAATTGAGGGTGCTCAGCACATGTAGGATCAGGCCACAATCCTTGGATTTCATTTTAAACAAATGAATAACACATCTGTTAATAAGGTAAGAAAGATTTTAGTGCGGGAAGGAAACATGATCTGTTGAATACTAGACAATCTCAGATGTTCAGTCTTTTCTACCTTACGCTTTTATACTGCCTCCCATCACCATAGTATCTGATCCCCAACTCAGCCCTGCACTGGTTGGGAATCAAACACAGATCTCCCATCCTATGGTGATAAGCGCAGTATAAAGACCTGTATGAAATGGACACATGCACAGTGAGAATTTTACCATTAAACCACCAATACTAATAACTGAACTAATGATGGTTGTTGGGGGCTCCTGGGAGCACCTAAAATTCTTCTGAATTGGGATGAAGTTTGAGGTGGTTTCTCTGCCTCTGAGGGAGTCTCTTGATACTGCTGACTCTGGCCTGGTGCTCATAAAAATACTTCTGAGGGGCAAAGATCTTCAAGTTGGGGTGCATCAGATGGCGCAGAATGCTGGGAAGAGGATATTTTCCTAACTCAGGGCAAGGGTTTCATCTCTTTCTCTTTCTCTCATGAATGTCCTCTGTATATTTTAGTGGAACAAATTATATACCTTTCCAGCAAAGCTGTGTTTAATGTAAGTTTCTTTGTCTTTTGATTTTTGCCTCATTCTCTGGTTTTACATTAGTTCTGAGAAAGCATTTTGTTTCAAATGACTAGATTCTCTCTCCTTTTCCGTGGGTGTGCATATCTCCAGCACCTAGGTTTATCACGGAAATGTTTGTGGGGGTAACTGTTAGCAGCACATCACTGAGCCATACGCATATTTTGTTTTATGTGAGGTGCTCTACCTACTTTTACTGGATTTCTAATGGAGTTTTAAAGATATGAAAGGCGCTTTCCATGATAATACTCTGAGGGCCTAATCTTGCTTCCATTAAAATAAGTCACAAATTTCCCATTTTCTTTGGTGGGAAGGGAATTAGGCCCTGGAAGAAGAACTTAATTACAATAACAAACAAGAACCAAGACACAGAGTTGGGCCTCTTTCCAGCTGCACAACAGTAATGGTATGTAGAAACCACCTGGGCACAGTGGGGTCCAGATAACCATGTTTACGCAATACACACAACATGCAAGGTCAGTTATACAGATATACTGTTACTCTGGCAGCTTTCTAAACCATAGAACACAGTGAGCACTACTAGAGGGTTCACAAACTATTTAAACAGATACTACCCAATTCCTATACGCTAAACAGAACAATGAAAGGGCCAAGGGGCCCTGCCTGCATTGTGGTTGAAACTGGGCTGCTGTTTCTCTGCCTTTTAGGATGCTCCCAGGTTATTATTACCTGGTAATGCCTGAAATTAATTATCCTCAGTTTCTGAGAATCGCTCTTAAAGTATCCCAGCTTCCAAGTAGCGGTACAATGAATTAGCAAGTAGGTATGTGAACCACGGCTCTCTGCTGGAGGAAATCAGCACTGCTTAGCTGTTTGTTGCCACCCTATAGGTGGTAATTTTTCTTTAGCTCAAGTGGTAGTGGCTGTGAGTTCTACCCCCGCTATTGCTGTAAAGTTCCAAATGGGCATTGAAATGGAATGCGCAGCGCCGTAGGGCTGGGGAGATACAGCATGGTGACAGTCACAAAGATCCTATATGGCCATGGATTTGTTACAATATTTATATTTCCTGTCAACATAATTTATTAAATGAAGGTGATAACATTTGTTTAGCAGCGTATGACTCATCAGTAAAACAGACAGATGGAAACCAAATTATATATTACAGAGGAGACAGATGATGTGTTTCATAAGGCATATGTGAATAACGGCATCAAATAACATTTAGTCTTATAGCCGCTCTATCAATATTTACTGGGCGCGCAACATGTAAATAAAAATGGCTGCATATTGATTTTTCATTGAATAAAGACATTTACACTGTGAAAGTGTAAAAAGGGACAAGCTTGCCATTTCTTCCACGTTGCTACTGTCTACTGAAATTGTTTCAATCATTATTATCTTTATTGTTATTGTGGTAATGCCTACAAGCCCCAAATGAGATCGGGGCCACAATGTGCCTGGTGCTATTTACACACACATAACACAAAGACAGTCCCTGGTGCAAAGGGCTTACAATCTAAGTATGTGATGAGATACAACAGGTGGATACAACAAACAGGGTGGGGGATGAAAGGGAACAGTAAGGCGGGTCTTGTTGCTGTCAGAAGCAGCGGTCACAGCACACCAGCTATTTAGGAATATGTTGCCTCATTTCAAAGCAATGTCTGTAGAAATTAATTCTGCTGCATTAATGTACCTACTGGCCACTCTTCCTTGACTGACAGCTGAGGGCAGCTCCATGCACTCGCTGCTTGACAGCCTTTACCCCACCCCTCAGAGGGAGGGAGGGGAGAGGAGAGACAGCCTGTCACGGTACCGCAGCAGCAAGCCTCTGAGCCCAGGTGAACAGACTCAGGCTTGTACTAATAACAGCTGTGTAGAAAGTGCTTCTAAGTCATGGCTCATGCGCGAGCTTGGGTCCTGAAGCCCACCCTCCTCCCTAGGCTTCAGAATGTGAGTTACAACATCTTCACAGCCAACTTTAGTGCTGTAGCCTAAGCCGCAGTCTGTTCACCTGGGCTGGGAGGCTCACTGCCACAGGCTGGGTAGACACACACACGTACCCTTAGTGTCCCCACCTACCCAGGCCTCTTTCAGAGGCGCTACAGCCTGGAGGGATGTTTCTCTCCTCCAAACGGTTCCATGGCCACAGAGAAAGGGTCACAGATGCTCTTGCTTACCCTTCTTGCCGTTTCCAATCTCCAGCGCAGAATCCTTTCTCCAGTCCTTTGCTGGGGGCAAAGAATCTGATAGGTCCCCAAGGAGCCACCAACTGGATGCTCAGACCTGGTCCCCGCCTGGCGTGTTTGAGACATTGTGCCTGGCAACATTTTCTGCATGTTGGCAATTCTGCAATACCTGGCTCTTTGATAAGGGCTGAGGATGCCGCATGCTTCCTTTTCACTAACATTCTGTGAGTGTCGACATGCATGCAACATTCACAGAACACACTTTGTGTCAAATTACTGCTCAGTCTGGAGTTAATAACTTGAAGCCAGTTTGCCATGTTGAAATATGCTCTGATTTCTACCCCGTGCAGCCAACCGGAAGCGTTCAAAAATCACGAGTCAGGCCCCCAAAATCGGGAAGACATTTTTAACCGTTATAAATGTTGGAGGGGTTATATGTTGCCTTATGGGTTTTGAGCTTCTAGCTTACACATGGGTCCCATTTTCCAGCTTTTCCCCACAACCACAAGGGCTAATGAGTTACTTTTTTTAAAAAATGAAAGCTGCGATTCTCACATAATCACATGACTCCAGGCGCTGGTGCTTTCGTGAAAACGCCAAATTTTGCAAAATGTGTGCTAACGTTGCCACCGTGGGCGATACCGCCCGCTAGACCTGAGAGCGGTACAGCAGCTAGAGCCTGCCAACGTGAACAGCGCGGGAATGCACTGAGCAGTGCACCTCCAGACAGCAATTTGTGGCACCTTAGGGACTAACACATTTATTTGGGCATAAGCAATGACATCGTTGCAAATACTTCACAGTCGGTCCTGGCAGCACACCCCACATTAACGTTGCGACTAAATTTCCGTATTTAACGATTCCCTCCCCAATGAAGGAGGAGGGATAGCTCAGTGGTTTGAGCATTGAGCCTGCTTAAACCCAGGGTTGTGAGTTCAATCCTTGAGGGGGCCATTTGGGGATTTAGTTGGGGATTGATCCTGCTTTGAGCAGGGGGTTGGACTAGATGATCTCCTGAGGTCCCTTCCACCCCTGATAGTCTAGGATTCTATGAAGGCGTTCCAGGCGGCCGGTGAAAGCACTGATCATAGAGTTCAGCCTCCCAGCGGAAGGAGAGTCTCCGCTGGAAGGAAGTCCCTGCTCCAGCCACTCTCTGTCTATGGTGTCACGAAGAACGGCTTCTTCCGGCATATCCCCTGAATTGAGCCGTTTCGCGCTCTGGGGGCATCACGTGCCACGGAACTTTCTTTCTGATTGGCTAGCTAGACCTAGCCTCCGGGAAGCCTCTTTTGGCGCACGCGCACATCGCATGGCCCTTGGCGGGCGCGGCGGAGGGCCGGGGTGAGGCGGCTGCTCGCGCGCGGGCGGGGGGTAGCCCCGGGCTGGGTTTGAGGGGAGGTTGTGCCGGGGTCCAGCCGGCAGCTCCAAGGCCGTTGCCCCGGGAGCCGCCACCCTTCCCGGGCCTGTTGTGCAGCGCGTAGCCGGGAGCCCCGCAGCCGAGCCCGGGAGCCCGGCCAGCAGCTCCCGCTGCAGACTCGCCGGGGCACCCAGCGCCTGAGGGGAGCCCGTGCCAGCCTGCCGCGCCCTGCCCCGGTTAGACACCCGCGGCCCGAGCCGCGCCGGGACCCCGCAGCGGGGAACGCGCTGCTCCGAGCCCAGCGGGGCCCCGCGTGGGATGCGCCGCTCCGGAGGGGTGGGGAGGTGCCCGGTCACAGCAGGCGATGCTCCGTTTTATGGCAAACACCGGGGGAGGGGGGAGTCTCTTGTCTCTGCAGCCTGGGCCGCTTGGGTCAGCATGGAGCATGGCATGGTAGGGGGTGGGCCACACCTCCATGAAGTTGGCTGCAGCCTGCCCCTCGCTTATGTCAGTGGAAGGTGGCCCTCACTTGGGATGTTCCTGAGCTAAAATAATTGACGCTCATATGGCTATGGTAATGCTTTATGTGCATGGCACTCTGTTCCACGGCAGGTTTGACAGAGGTTCCTCCATGGCTCTGGGGATGGAATGGCTGCTAAGACGATGGAAGGAATTGCTTCCTGGTCTGACAACCCGTGTCCTCCAGAGGCAGTATCTTTATAGATGTCACCATGGCCCCCCTCACAGAGCAAAGCGTCTGGTGCTGTCCCAGCTCTTTCAGCCTCTGAATCTTCGGGAGGACGGTGTGGTTGGGCTGGAGAGCAAACCTGACGATCTGACATGTAAGAGTCAGAGGCTGATGATACAAGCAGGGTTAATCTACCCCTCTAGCCCCGGCTGCTACTACTACATGCCTTACACTGTTCGAGCAATGGAGAAGCTTGTCAAGGTGATAGACCAAGAAATGCAGGCTATCGGGGGGCAGAAGCTAAATATGCCCAGTTTAAGTTCTGCAGAGCTCTGGAGAACCAGTGGGCGGTGGGATTTAATGGGCAAAGAGCTCTTCCGACTTGCAGACAGACACAGCAAAGAGTACTGTCTGGGGCCAACTCACGAAGAGACCATCGCAGACCTGATTGCCTCCCAAGCGAACTTGTCCTACAAGCAGCTGCCGCTCCTGCTATATCAGATAACACGGAAGTTTCGAGATGAGCCCAAGCCCCGTTTTGGCTTGCTGCGCAGCAGGGAATTCTACATGAAGGACATGTACACATTTGACACCTGTGAGGAAGCTGCTCGCCAGACCTACAGCCTGGTGTGTGAGGCGTACTGCAACGTGTTTAACAGCTTGGGGTTCCACTTTGTCAAAGTGCAGGCAGATACGGGCAGCATTGGGGGGAGCATGTCCCACGAGTTCCAGCTCCCCGCAGGCATTGGAGAGGACAGGCTGATGATCTGCTCCAACTGTAGTTTTTCAGCCAACGTGGAAACAATAAATCCTGACCAGACAGACTGCCCAGTTTGCAAAGGAAAACTGTCTGAGAGCAAAGGGATTGAAGTTGGGCATACGTTTTATCTGGGCACCAAGTACTCTTCTGTTTTTAATGTCAACTTCCACACTGCCCAAAACAAACCTGTCCTAGCAGAAATGGGTTGCTATGGCTTGGGCATAACTCGGATTCTGGCTGCTTCTGTCGAGGTGCTTTCAACAGAAGACAGCATCCGTTGGCCAGCCCTCATTGCACCTTACCAGGTCTGCCTCATTCCCCCTAAGAAAGGCAGCAAGGAAGAGATGGGTGCGGTGCTAATGGATAATTTATATGACAGTATTGTCGAAGCCGTGCCTCAGATTAAAGGGGAAGCTGTGCTGGATGACAGGACTCACTTGACCATTGGTAAAAGATTAAAAGATGCTAACAGACTTGGTTACCCGTATGTTATAATAGCTGGGAAGAAAGTTTTTGATAATCCCCCCGAGTTTGAAGTTTGGAATCAAAACACTGGCGAGATCATGTTCCTTACTAAAGAAGGTGTAATTGAATTGCTAAGTAAAGTGCAAGTTCCCTGACCTTCCAGTCTTTGGTCTGTGATCCTTGGTGTTTTACCCATATCTAAATGTATCTAGTTCCCTCTTTAAGGATTATAGTTACAGGTGAAAGATTACTCCTGTTTGAGTGGAAACTGCACATGACTTCACGTGTTGCTAGGAACTGAGGCTTGTTTCTATTAATGGCACATATTTGGCTTGAAATCTAATTGGTTTCAAAAGATGAGTTTAAAAGTACTTTCAGATCCTTCACTTGTGTCTGAGTCTCCCTGCTAACTTCTGTGGCTTCACAGTCATGTTTCCCTGTTCTTTTTATGTTTTTCCTCTCCCCTATTGCTGTGTAAAGGACCCACACAAACAGAGGGGGAAACCAACCATGGCTTTGATCTTGTCAAGACTTACATGTGCTTACTTGTATTCACAGAAGTAGTGCCATGCCTGAGTAAAAATGCAGGTTCAGGCCCTAGCAGTCTGTACAAGGGCAACAGTGAAACTGACTAGACACAGATTTGTCAAATGTACAAAGGGGAGAGGATGAGATTCTTCTCTGATCTCTTTCAGGTGTTGCATTCTCACATCTTGTTTAACGGTAATCGGTTTTAAAAACAAAACTTGAGACAGATGTTTGTCCTTGTTTTAGTTGACTGTCTTCTCCCTTTAATTTAAAAAAAGAACAGGAGCACTTGTGGCACTTTAGAGACTAACAAATTTATTAGAGCATAAGCTTTCGTGGGCTACAGCCCACTTCTTCGGATGCATATAGAGTGAAACATATTGAGGAGATATATATATACACACATACAGAGAGCATGAACAGGTGGGAGTTGTCTTACCAACTCTGAGAGGCCAATTTTAATTTGAGTCCAAATGCTAACTCTGAAGGTTAATAGGAATACAGATTTAATTAAGTTTTACAGATACCTAACCCAGAAAAATAGTGTTCATAGTCTTTCTCTTCTTCAAAGTGCATTAGAAATGTTAATCTGAATGAATTAAATTAAGAATGTTATCAGTCACTAAGACCCAGTCCTGCACTCAGATTCAGGTGGGAGGACTCTGGCACTAGCATATAGTCTCATACCCTAGTGTTAGGGTGCCTATGTGTAGGGATCCCCAACCTAGAGTTAGAGTTCCTATGTGTAGGCCACTTGGAGTTTGTGTTAGGTTTCTTATGGGTAGGGCTCCAGTCCCTCTGGTTAGGGTTCATATGGGTAGGGCTCCCCATCCTAGGGTTAGGGTTTGTATGGTTAGGCTGGGTTTAACAAAATATCTTTTCACTCTCTTGTTCATTGTGTCTGACTATCAGTAAAGAATGTGGCATTGTCCTCTCCAAAAATCCAGTTTTGGTTGTCAGCAGGCGTGGCTGTGAGTTAGAAATTTAAATCCCCACCTGGGGACGTCTGCTACTTAATCTCTTATTGAAGTCAATGCAAAACAAAGCTAAGGTGGGAGGAAGGGGTATGGTGTGTGTGTGTGTGTGTATATATATATAATAAAAATCCTTACTTGATTGACTTAAACATCTGGCAGCAGATGCTGTTAAAGCCTCTAAGAAGCTATAGTTGAGACACCAAAGGATAGGGCTCAAATTTTTCTTTATGGACACACTAAGTCCCTGGGGTTGTCCGTGTGTAGCTGAGAATAGCCCTTATTGACTCAACTGGAGTCCGGCCCTGAGCTAATTCAGCACAATGTGGGGGATTCCCTCCTTAAACAGAAGGTGCCTGTCTCTAAAAAGAAAAATCATGCCTAGGGGATGAACTAAGAGCTTCACAAAAATGCATGGAACTTAGATGTGAGGTTGCAGGTTCCCTTGGATTTTAGGCCCTCCTTGTGGAGGAGAAAGTTTGTTCTTTTGTTGCAGACAGATCTCCATTTGTCATGGTAGTTATAGTCCCCTTGCTGATCACCAGTGATTGCAAAAGGGCTCTTGAGGAGAGCAAAGCAAACTGCCATTGTCAGGATGTAGATTTCTGTACTGGGGATCTGTTTTTCCATTGCCTTGTGTGACATCCGTGCAAGGTGGCTGTAAAACTCTTCCATCTGACCTGGTGGCATTTTACCCCACTCTGCCCAGGCATCAATGACGGTGCAAGGCGCTGGAGGATCAGGCCAGGGTTTCTTTCTTGCTCTCACCAAGTTCCCAGCCCATTTTCCTTGATGACTTCCTCAAATCTCCCTGCTTTCATCCTCCTGGAGCTCACCCTGCTCCCTACAGTGTCAATGGCAAAACTGCTGATGTTCAGTGGGAGCAGGATCCCATCTTTCATGAGGAATGGCCTCCTGCTGGAGTCTGCATCCGTCACTGTCTCCACCTTCAGTCAGGGCAGGTTTCTGGAGACTTTTGCCTACACGGGGGGGAAAGATTAACTCATTGTCTTCTCAGAAGAAGGCAGGCACTCACCACCCCTCACTGTCTGTAAACAAAATAGAAATGTTCATGTCCTGGTAGTTTTTCACTGAATCCTTGAGTCAGTTTTCATGGTTCTTTTCAAAGATCTAATTTCCCCTTTCCCTGCCTCTCTCTCTTTCCCTACCAGCAGCTTCGTTCCCCATAGCCTGCTGAGCTCCAAAGAGGACTTGGGCTATGCTTTGCATTTGACAGACCCACTACATGGCCATATGTTTGCAGACCCACTGTTCTTATCCCTCTTCTGGCCTCTGCCTTGCCCAGAGATTCCCTGTTCTCTGGTGCTGAGGGACTCTCCATGGACTATGGCACTATGCCAGGAGGATATGGACTGCCAGGGACAGTTCTACTGCACTGCAATCATGGCCTTACACACCAAGGGCAGGATTTGCTCCAAACTCAGTATCAGGAAAATCCATTTGTGACTGGGGTCGCAGTGGGGGCCAACTGGGTTCACTCAATTAGGGTGAACTGCAAAGAATGGGGCAGACAATCCCCCAAATGCTGGTGGATATTCCAAGACTTAGCTTTACCAAGCCAACATAAAACAGCTTCTTTGTTACCTCACTGGTTGCCCAGAAGCCAACAACACAGTTCCCTTGAAGTAACCCAGCCTCAGGTCTCCGTCCAGGTACCCAAGTCAAATATGATGAAGATTTCTGAAAATCTTATTTCATCATATCAAAGAAAAGGTTCTACCAATCCCACAGGATTGGACACATTACCTCCCAGATTAATGAATATTCCGGATCTTACCCAAATACACGCTACAGCCAATTATTATTAACTAAACTAAAATTTATTAAAAAAGAAGAGAGAGTATGGTTAAAAGATCAATATACATACAGACATGAATTTAATTCTTGAGGTTCAGATACATAGCAGAGTTGGTGAGCTTTGTAGTTGCAAAGAATTCCTTTAGAATTTAGTTCATAGGTTATAGTCCAATGTCCAATATCCTATCCAGGGTGGACCAGCTGAACTGGGATCTCATCTTGTGACTCAAACGTCCCCCGATGAAGCTTAAGCAGATCTGAGATTAAAAGGATCAAGGCCCCAGGATCTTTTATACAATTTCAGGTCTTCTTTGACAAGTTGGAGTCCCTCGGGGAACAATAGGTAATCAGGGCATCTTTGAAGTGGGTCCATCACTGGTACTTAGCTATGTGAATTAACATAAGACAATTGCCTGTTCCTCCACCATTCACCAATGATCTGCTATATATTTCAGAGAGAGATGAATACAGAGAGATCCTGTGTTTACAATTCATTTAAATGCTAGGATGTTCTTTTCATCTCTGAATTAATAGTTATAGTGACAGACAGGAACTGTCTGTTTACATGGCTAGCACCAAAGATACACACAATCAATATTACCTCTAACTTCTAACAACATAGGTTTGCATTTCAAAGTTCTAGCCTATTTACCATGAATGGCCTTAATTACCATTCGCATACCTTTCTAACGTGACTTTAAAGTGGGCTCTTCAGCCTGCAAACTGCTTAACCCTTTCTGGCCATGAGTTATATTTTGTATAAGATTTGCTGCAAATATATAGCAGTGGTAGCAACAATGGTTTGCATAATTATATTTTAATCAGACAACCTCACACCATTAAATCTCACGTTTAGGGGAGAATTGACTTGTTTCCACGACAAATACACCGTCATACCTCTCTATTGTGACAGCTTCCCCTGCTGGTGTGTGCTACCTCTCCTTGTCTTAGTCCATGCTTTCCTCTGTCATTGTTATCTCCTGAAAGAAGTTGAATCTACCTGACAGCTGTGAACATCCAGCACAGACAAGTAGTCATTAGATGTGGTAATTTCCCTCCTTCGGCTCAGTTAGACCTGCAAACATGGTCGGACGGACCAACGTTAAAGGTGCTTTTGGCGGGATTCAAAGTGTTAACAGTTTTCTATACACTAGGGGCCAGATCCTCAGCTGGTGTAAATCTGCATCGCTCCATCAGTGGAGTTTCACCAATTTATACAAGCTAAGCTTCTGGCCCTAAAAGCTTCTCCACGACAACCTCAGTCTAGGGTTGAAAACTCCAGTGATTACGGTAATTCTAATGCCATAGATGGCTAGATAAATACTGAATAAGAATATGTATGCTGTAAAAAAGTTCTCAAAGCAGTCCGTAGAAAGACCTGTAATGGTTTCACCATCTCCACTGAATAAATGGTACTGCCTCCCACTCGTTGAGACTGCCGTTTTAATAATTCTTCTCAGTTGGAGGCAAAGCTTGATACAGAATAGGATAGAAAAAAATACGCCTTTCCATTAGAGAGCATGGGAAATCAGAGTTTGAGTAGTTGTAAAGTCCTTGATGTATCTTATTCACTTCTGGTTAATTTTATCACTTGTGTAAACTGTTAAATTAATTTAAAAAAATAAAGATCTTTACATCAACTTTGTAAGTCCCTTTCCAGCTGTCTAGTAAGAGAGCTATTCTATAGTCCTATTCTGCATTTTTCCAACTGTCAAATTAGAAGCCTCCTCTTTGATGGCTACATAGTCTTTTTAAATATTATTCACAAGCATTTTTACTGGTTTACATTTCTTTGTACTTATAGTAATTAGAATAACTTTTACAGCACACTGGCATTTTCCTTAAAGCACCAGTAACTGGAAAAGCTGAACACGAGGGTTTTGGCATCATTTTATTTACTTTAAAAGAATTCATTTAGCCCGCTGGGTAAGAGAAGCATCTTTAGGCCACAGATAAGACAAAATAAATTGAAGGCATGATTGTAAAGAATTTTAACCATAAATTCTCCCCAAACTCACTTTTTCTTTCGTGCTTGAGGAATAGAAATAGGGCCAAATTCTGCTCTCATCTGATGCACACGGGCTTCACTGGGGCTGCACACCTGCACAGGGACTCCCTTCTCACAGATCTAATTGCAGGATTGGGGCCAAATTCATGGACTTCTGTCGACACTGGGGTTACTCTGGATTTACACTGGTGTGAATGAGAACAGGGTGTATCATGCAGTGTTTACTGCCTAGCTATACGATGCAACTTCTGTGTGCGTCTAACACTTAGCTAATCTAGAGTATTTGTGGAAGATTTTATTTTTGTGTAACTCAAAGAACACCGACTGTATTGTTTTTAAACCAGCAGTACCCAGCTGATTGCACAGGAGTGGGACCATTGAGAAGTGAAATGTATGTTTGAAAGGGAAATGAGCTGTGATGCGGAACTGCACACCAGCTGGACTGGACTGGACTGCTCCCTGAAGACTTGATCCTACTCCCATTGGAATCAAAAGAGCCTTTTGATTAATTTCATTGGGCACTGTGACAAGATGGTCAATATAGTATGGTGGGTCCTGCACTTTTCTTGGTGGGGGGGGGCTAAAATACCACCCCTTACCCCTGCTCTTGGGGCACCAAGGGCCCCACTAGTGGCCCAGGAAGGTGGTAAAGGAGGGAAGCGGGAGAGGGGTCTGGGTTTGCACCTCACTCTGAGTCCCAGCCCCTCTCAACCCCTGTAGGTTCTTACCCCCTTCCCCCTTGGGTGGGGTACCTTCAGTCCTTAAACACTGGGGGAGGGAATGTCCCTCCCCTGCTGTGGCAAAGTCTCCCTTACTCTGGTTTTCTGTTCCTCCAAGTCTCACAGCGCACCTCCAAGCTCCAGTCCTCTCTCCTTCCCCGTGACTGCCTGAAGCAGGGGGTTTTATTAGGTTTCTAACAGGGCCTTAATTGATTACAGGTGCTCCAATTAACCTGTAGCAACCCTCCCTAGTCTACAGGGAACCACGCCTTAATTAACCTAGGGATTATACACTTCCCTTCTACCACTTCCCACTGCTCCCTGGCCTTCCTGTATCACAGCACTTACACTTTAGCGAAGTCAAGGCGCTCATGTTTCAGAGCAGGCTGCACAGTAATCTGTGTGTAAGGTGGCTGAGGGCAGTGATTGTCCAAAGCAAGAAACTGATTGGCTATTAGATGCTGTCTTGGCTTCATCACCAGTACCTATTCAACACATGGTTATGACATCGATTGCACTACTGCTTCATTTGCATATTCAAAGCAGTGACATCTGGTAGTTTACCATGACAAGCTAGGGTAAAATGACTGTTCCTGATCCTGTTACAGGAAGGCTGCATGTGTACATGGACACTCCCCTTCAAGAAGGTGCAAGTGGCTCATTGGGACACCTTAGCCTGATGCTTGAGAGGAGAAGTCAGGCGTAGACCACAGGAGCCAACAGTATGTCTTGAGCAAGTCTTGGGAGCGAGAGAACATGAATCCAGTCCATGTAGGTGAGGAGTCAGGCACTGCTCTGAGGATCCAAGAACATACCCCTATGACCCAGGAGGGGGAGGAAGGTACCAAGAGTTTGGTCACTGGAGGTGAGGAGTCAGCTGATGTCCTGATGACCCAGCTGTGCCCTCTGGGACTGGAGGAAGTGGTGGCCATCATGTAGAGCATTCTTGGTCTGTCGGAGCACTGCACCGCACAGGCCACTTCTGACGGTGAGGAGCGATGTGTGTCTGGGGAAGGTGAGAGGCCTATGTGTACAACATCCTCACATAAACATTAGATGCTGTGGCACCTCCAACCAGAGAGATCTCCAAAGAAATGGCATTGTGAGGCCCTTGGCCCAACTGCGTCTTAACTACCAAGGTGCTTGTATGGCCCCAACACCACAGTGCCTTCGAATATCACACAAACATTCTTTGATCAGGCTCCAATTTGAAAAGGTGCCGCAGGCATTCAACACCCATTGGCTTTCAGTGGGAAATTGGATTCCTAACCCCCAGGGAAAATCCTAACCTCAGTCCTCACAGCGTCCCCGTCAGGTGGGAAGGGTTATCATCTCCGCTTTACAGATGGGGAACTGAGATACTGAGAGAGACTGGGCTGGATTCTCCTGTCTGCCAAGTTTTTTTTGCTGCATGCACTTCTTGTGCTGGAGATGCTTCTTCAGGCATTACCGGACTGTGGTAAAGAAGGCGTGGAGAGGTGGTGTGGCATTATGAGGCTCCACCCACTTCCTAAGCACCTTTAAGTCAGCAGCATAAGCCACATTCCACTGCAGCTTTATCTTGCACCAGAACTAGGCATCTGAGAATCGGGGAGCTGCGACTGGCTTCCGGACAGCCACCTCTCTCCACTGCACCCAAGTTAAGTGACTTGCCCAAGATCACACAGGAAGTCTGTGGTAGAGCTGAGAATTAAACCCTCATCTCTTGATTCCCAGTTCTGTGTCTTAAATACAAGACTAGCCTCCTATGAATGCCAGAGAGGGAGGAGCAGCAGGTATTTCTATATTCTTTTTTCCACCATGCACCCCTTTTAACCAGCTACTGCAGAATTTTACCCTCTCCCTTTTTATCAAATTCAGAAAATCCCAGTGAAGCTTGTGGGACAACAAGGCAGGATGTGGGAGAAAAGGAGGACAAAGTGCAGCCGGCACTGGAGATGGTGGCACTGAATGATTGCAATAAGCTGGTAGGAACATGCGCCATGTCTCTAGTGTCTCTCTCCCCTCACACTTCTATGCACTTTAATCCAACCATCCCATGACATTTATCATGCACTCAGAAACACTGCATAAATGCCTAGCTGGACTAAGTGCCTAAGGTTCTGACCTCATTCTGTCCACTCAGCACACACATTCGGGGGCCAAGTAGCTTGTGGTCTGATTTTACTTCTGTAGGGGTGTGTGCACGTGTGTACTTAATAATTTCCTCACAACAGAGAATGTGTGAATCTTCAGGAGGTGTTTTGATGGGAGAAGTGTTTAATGACTGATGTTTGTCAACTTTCCACACTAATATCACATGTTCTTTCCTTGCTTGGGTGGGTCCACGATCCAAGAAGGAACTCGGCAGGGATGTCAGCGGGCACGGACAGAAAACAAACTCCCTTCACAGCCAGAAACTCATGGTTGTCAAGCAGACTGTGGTGAGTAAGATCTGCCCATGTGACAGAGTGGGATGGATGAGCTATATCTAGAATTTCAAGGAATGCTGTTGTTGCTCTGCCTTATGAGAGCACAGATGAGACAGGCATGGGCTCAGACACTCCAGAAGCAATGAGCTGTGGGTATTAATTAAGCAATTCCATGTTATCCAAATAAAGGTGCTCATTGAATAACCAGAGGTTAGTGTAGAGGGAGGAGTAGCTATAGAGGGTGTGATGGGGCAAGGCCAGATGGCTACAGTAAAGTAGTGAGGAACAGTATTAGTATCAATGGTCAATGCGGGTCTGGCTGGAGAATCTTGCCCACATGCTCGGGGTTCTGCTGATCGCCATATTTGGGGTCGGGAAGGAATTTTCCTCCAGGGTAGATTGGCAAAGGCCCTGGAGGTTTTTCGCCTTCCTCCACAGCATGGGGCAGGGGTCGCTTGCTGGAGGACTCTCTGCGACTTGAAGTCTTCAAATCAGGATTTGGGGACTTCAACAGCTGAGTCAAGGGAGAGAATTATTCCAGGAGTGGGTGGGTCAGCTTTTGTGGCCTGCATCATGCGGGAGGTCAGACTAGATGATCATAATGGTCCCTTCTGACCTAAAGTCTGAGTCTATGAACAGGTATGTTAGCCCCAGGCTAAACAAATCCCTGGTACCATGGTAACCAAATGGCAGTTGCTCCAGGTTAATCAAGACACCTGGGGCCAATTAAGATCCTTCTAGAAGGCAGGAGAGACAGCTAGATTGATTGGGACACCTGAAACCAATCAAGGACTGGCTGGAACTAGTTAAAAGCCTCCCAGTTAGTCAGTGAGGTGTGGGTGTCAGGAGCTATAGGCGGGAGCTGTGCTGTTGGAGGAACGAAGTAGTAGGAATCCATATCAGGTGCAAGGAAGGAGGCCCTGAGGTAATTGTGAAGAAGATATTGAGTGGGGGCTGCTGTGGGGAAGTAGCCCAGGGAATTGTACACGCCCTATTTCCAAAAAGTCAGCTTCCATAGCTGCTAAGTTTAGGGTCCCTGGGATGGAGCCCGGAGTAGAGGGTGGGTCCGGGCTCCCCCTCTCCCCTCCCTGATTAATCACTGATACTGGGAGACAACAGAGACTGTGTGAGGGAGGGTTGTTTCTCCTCACCTCCCTTGCTGGCTTATGATGAAAATGGCTCAGTAGACTGTGACCCTTGCCTCTAGAGAGAGAAGGGCTATGTGGAGGGTCACAGTGAGCCTCTGAGGCTAGCAAAATCCACCAGGAAATGCAGGACCCACGGAGTCAAGGACAGAACTTTGTCACAAGGGCCACACATGGGTGGTGAGTTTTCCTGACACAGGAGCACTGTTCCAATGCATGTCTTTGTGTATTTAATTTGGAAGGACTCTATTGCAAGCACCATACAAAAGCCAGAACCCTAAGCGTTACCTGGTCAAAAGGAGATCCAACCAGCCCATCTGTGCTGCCCAGGCAGCAGCAGACCAACCTGGCACCAAGTCAAACTTTCGGGCAAGCCACCTCCTAGTTCAAGTGATCTCTTCCCCTGGGGCGAGGGAGTTAATGCAGAATCCAAGAGGAGGCCCAGAAAATGGTCAAGAATAAACCAACTGGAATAAACGAGCCTTGCAGAGTACTTTAGAGGTAGCCAGTGAGTGGCTCTGGCCTACATCTCCTGAGGTAAATTCCTCAGCAGAGGAGACTCCACCGAGAAACCTCTATCCCTGGCCCAGTTAGAGAATGGACTTGCCCCAGCTCACTTTCACTGTCAAGCGGTGACACAGGGCGAGAGGGTCAGAGAGGGGAGTGATTGGGTCGGCTGCTCATTATGGATTTATTCACTTGGGGGGCCTGGCTGGGACTTTGGTCTGGCCTTGGGGGTTAGCTACCCTCCCTGTGCTCTCTGGAGATTGGGGTCATCCCCTTGTTAGGGCAGAGGGACAAACACTGGGGTTGGCAGGGCTGCCAGGAGCTCATCACTACGTTTGTCTCCTCTGTGATTCACAGAAGCACATTAAATTGCTGCCGCAGGATTCGCTGGACTCGCACTCCAGTGCCGTGCGCCGTCAGGGGATGCTGCTCATCACAGACTGCAGGTACTCGGACGTCTCGTCCTGACTCTGTAGAGCCAGGAATCCCAGCCTCCCAGGAGGGACGTCCAGCTCCCATTGCCGAGCATTCAGAGGGACAGAACGGGGAGCACTCACCTCGCTCGCCGCCTGGCTGGGCGGGTTGTTCAGACTGACATGCAGGATCTTGAATCCAAGCACTTGTTACAGTGAATGGTGTCTGAATGGAGTCTCCCCTCCCGCTCTGTCCAGATGTTTGCTGAGGTTCCCCTGTGAGTGTGGACTAATCCTCCCACCAGCAACGATACAGGATGCCAGAATAGCCACACCCCTGCTGCTTTCCCCGATGCCAGTCCTACACTCTGCCAGCACACGAGGAAAGGTGGTCTCCTGGTTATGGCCCTGGACTGGCACTCTGGAGACTGGGGTCACTTCCTGGCTCTGCCACAGACTCCTGAGTGGGCATGTCAGTGATTCAATTTCCCTTCTGTAAAATGGGGGTAGTAATGATACTTCCTCTGCCTGTCTTGGGTAATTCGATTATAAGCAGGGCCTGTCGCTAAATCTGTATGGCACCTAACACAATGGGGCTCAAATCTCAGTTATGGCCTCTAGGCACGACTGTAACACAAATAACAATAATAATTAGCCCGGTCCCTGCTGTTCTCATCCACGCTGCTCCTTTATGCTGAAAGCATAAGCACAAACCTCTGCCAGCCATGTTTTCCCGTCCTTTCTTATGGCCCCACAGTGACAGAATGAAAGTTCCGGTGCCTCTTCCACAGCGGGAATTCCAATGGGTGCTTATTTTTCTACTAGCAAAGTGAAGCTGCCTCTGGAGGGTAAAGAGAAGTTGGATGTGGTCATTGTCTGCGTTACCAGCATCTCTGCCCTGCCCTCAATCAAGGCCTTGCAAAGGCAGGAAGGCCACAAAGTAAATGTGAAGGTAATTCATTGTCCTCCTCTGAGCACGTTGCCTCTGTGTCTTTTGGTTGGTTTACACCCACTCCCTTGGCTTGCCTAGAACCTGAATCTGAATCCTTCCTGCGCCATCAAATGTTGCGTAGGCACAAACAAGGCTCGACCATCCCTGTGTATCCACTCTCTGCATGTTCTCCATGTGTTACGTCCCATAGGGTTCCCTCTCAAGATCCTGTTTGATGGAGGGGTTCTTTCAGGCAGCCCATTTCCCGTGTTCTTCCAGCTGCCCAATGGCACGCCTGCCACGGCAGACACACTGGCTTCATTCTTAACACATGGCCCAGATAGTTCCATCTCTTTTTCTGCAGAACTTTGGGAAGTTGTGTTTCTGTAGCTTAACTCCTTTCTAGGAGGATAGATGGTTGGCCTATCACTTGACTCCCAACCTGGAGGACCCATGGACTGCTTTTCATCTGGTCCCCACCCTTTGACATGTCCAGCTTGGGTGTCCCTCCCAGGAGTTACAGCTCTAACCAGCATAACTCACAGGGTCTTTGGCGCGCACAAGCCTTCACACCACATCAAAGTACTGTCTCCAGGGAAATTTGGTTTTTCTAGAGCTGATTGGAAAAGCTTCCCCCTCGGTGTCTGGTGAGTAAGAGGCATGTGCGTTGTATGAGGTGGAAAAAAGACTGGGGATAACAGAGCAAGGAGGAGCTCTCTCCACCCTGCTGAGACGATTACACACCACGAAACTGAGTCCTTGCTGGGCTTTGGGTCATGAACAGTGTCCTATGCCATGCTGCAGGAGGAGCCGTCTTAGCTGGTTTCATATCAGGCCTCCTGGCAGTAACAGCCAATGGAGGGGTCTGAAGCAGAGCTTGCAAAGTGTGTGTGGTGTCGCAAGACCCCCACAGACAGGCTCCTAGACATCACGGGCTTTGTCTGATGTCAAGTGCTGCGGCTCTTCTTCGTCTTTTCAGGATTTGTACAACCAGACTGTGGATGCCCTGGAAGTGATGCTGGGAGCTCTCCTGTCAGAGAAGCCAAACCCAGCTGAGCTGCAGAACTTCTTGGATGTAAGCAGCATTGAGCTGGTACGGGCAGAGGGTGGGGGCATTGCCATCTTGTGGCAGTGTGAGGAGGGGAGGGTGCGAGGGAGAGACGGGAGGGTTTGTGTTTCTGTTCTTGTCTATGTCTTGACCCTATGTCTTGCTCCCTAGAGCGTAGATCATGTGTAGTGTTGGCTGTTTCAGGGCAGTGGAAAGAAAAATCATTTTCATTGAAAACAAGGGAAAGGAAATTTGATATCACTTTTCAGGAGGCTCATCCTGTTCTTCACAGCCAAGGACTCCCTTTGTCCTTCCTTCCAGTCACTGACAGCTATGGCAAAGCTCTCCCTTTCCCCGTCCCTTTCCCAGAGGAGTGGGAGTGGAAGGTGGGTCTCTAGCATCAGCTTGTGGAGCATTAACTCTGGGGTCTCCTGTCTAGCTTGGGGAGTTTGAAACCAGAAGCGCAATAGCAAAGACTCTCACTCTCCTTCCTACAGAGGCAATCAGACGTGGAAAAGTAGGAATGGCTCTCTGGTGCAGAGGGACCCACTTCTCCCTTCCTCTCCAGAGGGATTGAGTGATCCACGGATGGGGGAGTGGTATTCAGTGGTATTCAACCCTCTTGCTTCCTACCTAGAAAGTCCCTGAGGTCCAGGGAACGGGGAGGTGAGATCTGCCTGAGTCTTCTCTGGACATGACCGAGGGCTCAGAAGGAGAATGGGACCAGCCCTTTGGAGGGATGGAATACTGCAGCAGTCCCTCAACGCAGTGGGCTGATTACAGGACACTGCAATCCTGATGAACACAGAGGTGAACCGTATGGGGCTAAAGCCAGATTTACCTCTTTATAGGGTATGTGTCAGGGGAATTGTCCATGACACAAATCCTGAAGGGGAGCAGGACTCAGACAGCCTGTCTGGTTAATACCGTGGTGATCAGGTCAGAGAGAGAGAGAGCAACTTTAGGGGTTCACTGCAACACATGCCCCTGTTCTGCAGTTTCTAACACAGGCCTCCCTTGCTTATTCCTGCAGCACTTGGCCCCCTGGATGACAGCAGAGAAAGCTCATGAGCGAGCGAGGGCTGTGAGCACCAGTGTCTGCCTGTTACAAGCAGCAGCCGAGAGTCCTAAGTTCTGTGTGAGTGATCTCTGACCCCTGGTAGCCTGACGCCAGGAAGAATGGCCCTAGGCCATGCTCTCTTCCCATCATGTGGGACATTTATGGCCACTGATGACAGGTTCTCCTTGTCCACCAAACCAGCACACTGTTTCCTTCCCCCTTTGATTTTCACTCAGATGTCACACGAATTCCCCAGGCTGAGGCTCCTGATTGGACGGCTGGCCCTGCATGTTGGTGACCCAGAGAAGGAGATTGGCCGCCAGGCTATGGAATGCTTGTATTTCCTCTACTCCCTCATGTGGTGCCAAAAGGGTAAGAGGGGGCTTTCCGAACTCAGAGGACCCAAAGCTCCTGCCTGTGAACAGCTGGACCCTAACCCTGTAGGAACAGGCGTCTTCTTGGAGAACTAGTCTAGAACACAGCTTGTAAGCAGATGGCCATCTTCCCTTCTCTATGCTATAAATGGATTAGTTCAGAAACCCCAATAGGTCTTTAGGTGAGAGCCCTCTAGGGCAGTGGTTCCCAAACTTGGGACGCTGCTTGTGCAGGGAAAGCCCCTGGTGGGCCAGGCTGGTTTGTTTACCTGCCGCGTCCGCGGGTTCGGCCGATCGTGGCTCCCAGTGACCGTGGTTCGCTGCTCCAGGCCAATGGGGGCTGCGGGAAGCGGCGCGGGCTGAGGGACGTACTGGCCGCTGCTTCCAGCAGCTCCCATTGACCTGGAGCAGCAAACCGCGGCCACTGGGAGCTGCGATTGGCCGAACCTGCAGAAGCGGCAGGTAAACAAACTGGCCCGACCCGCCAGGGGCTTTCCCTGCACAAACGGCGGAACAAGTTTGGGAACCACTGCTCTAGGGACTTTGCTGCTGCTGCTGTTGATTTTCTGTGGAAGTGCTCAGGTGCTGAGATGATGGGTGGCACTATAATACTCATGGAGGGATGGCTGGAGAGCAGAGCCACTGTTAATGAAGGTTACATTTAAAAGGGGTATATTCTGCAGAGGGGGTAAGGGCAGAGTATGCCCCAGGAACGAAGCTATTTGTAAGTCACTGTGAGTGTGTAGTGTTTTGAAGGAAAGAGACAGTGAAGAATATTCTCTAGCAGGGAACAGGATAAGGCTGTTAGGAAGCTAGTGATGTAGTGTCTGCCTCCCCATACATCCATATTTCCCATGGCAGGGTGTTTGTTATGCAATAGACCTGCTGCTCCTTCAAGCACTGTGACTTCAAGCCTGTAGTGCAGCTATGGTTCAGGAACATGAATGAGAGTGGGAGGAAGCCAGTCATTTAAGGGCAAAATGGGAAGCCTTTCAAATATAGAATCATATGAAATGAAGGGCTGGAGGGACCTTGAGAATCATGAAGTCCAGCTCTCTGCACTGAAGCAAGACTAAGTATACCTAGACCATCCCTGACAGGTGTTTGTCCAACTTGTTCTTAAAAACCTCCAAGGACGGGGATTCCACATCCTCCCTTGGAAGCTTATTCCAGAGCTTAGCTATGCTTAGAGTTAGAAAGTTTTTCTTAGTATTATCCTAAATCTCCCTTGCAGCAGATTAAGACCATTACTTGTCATACCTGCAGTGGGCATGGAGAACAATTCTTCACCACCCTCTTTATAACAGCCCTTAACATACTTGTTATCAGGTCCCACCCCCTCAGTCTTCTTTTTTCAAACATGCCCAGTTTTTTTAACCTTTCCTTATATAAAAGGTTTAGAAAACCTGACTTCTTTTTTGTTGCTCTCCTCTGGACTCTCTCCACCTTTCCCAAATGTATTGTCTTCTCCTAGAACCTGAGAGGAAGATGGGGTCTGTGACAGCAGTGCTACATCAAATGCCCAAAGAGATCTTGGGTATCTACGAGCCCACCAGGACTTGTGAGAACATCTCTGAAATTGTTAAGGTGAATCCTCAACGCAGGGTGTAATGAAAAGTATTTCTGGCTGCAGGTGTGTTCCCAGTGTTGTACCTGTCAGTATACAGTGCAGAGCAGAGCAGGCTGAAAATAGGAATTTCTGTCCTATGGAAAATTCTGATATTTCAACATTTTTCATCCCAAATTGGGATGGAAACATTAAAATATCAATGTTTTTTCACAGAATGGAAAGTTCCAAATTATTTCAATTTGGAAATGTCAAAATACTTCATTTTGGCTCAGTTTGACACTGAATTGCGTCAAACTGCCACGGTGTTTCATGGGAGTTGTAGTTCGGGTGCCTCTTGCCCCCATTCTCCTTCATGGGCCAGGATTCCCAGGTGGATTACATCTCCCATAATGCACAGTGGCAGTTCAGCCAGAGGGGAATCCGGGGTGCATCATGGGAGATGTAACCAAGCCCATAGAGGAAAATGACGGTACCTGAACTCCCATGAGGTAGTGCGGCAGCACAGGTGGATACAGATTAATGTCAAACTGAAACATTTCAATTTTTTTTTCTTGTGGAAAAATTTAATTTTCTGGAGAAATTGAACAGAAAATTCCTGACCAGCTGTTGCTCAGAGCCTGTCAGCCATAATACTTTTCTTTCATCTATATTTTAGAGGAGAACTACCTGTCCTTTATCTAAGGCTCAGTGAGCACAAAAGAAAATACCAATGAAGCTTGGTTGGCCTCACTAACTGAATAGTTTGAGGCAGTGACTATACAATATCTACAGGGGTATTTGGTTTGAAGCAGTGACTAAAGAATACTCCCCAGGGTATTTGGTTACAGTATCCCATACACGCGGCTCAGGAGAAAGTCAAAGGCTGAATGCATCAGACACCAGAGCAGTTGAACTCTCGTGAAGCATTGGTATGGTTGAATGATCTTGAAATTGTTGGAGGCAGTTCATTCTTAAATAAGTTTGAAAAAAGCCAAACTTGGCTTTGTCTGGATTTTGCTTATCAATTGTGCCAGCGGCAGAGTGGGTGTCCAGCTGGGTCACCTACATCAGGTGCTTTGGTTGTGTTCGTCCAGAGATTTGGACAATTTCTCAGTCCAGACCAGATGGCAGACCTTCTACTGACAGCTGTAGAAAGCTTGAAGGAGGCCAATGAGAGCACCATTGAAGCATCAAAGACTATTCTGAATGTAATCCTGGAGAAGTACAAGCAGAAGATACAGATGGAGGTAGTTGGCTCTTGGGAGTTGGGGAGCATTTAGAATCTCCTGTCCTGGGGTACCATCAGCGGGACTCTTTCTTCATTGTGATGCTGATATTTTAAAGTGTTGCAAGTGGACTGTCTAAAGCTGGGAAATGAGCCTTCGTTCCATTGTCTCGGGACTTGGAGACTGCATCTGGAAGTTCTCTTCAAGCTGCTGCAGTTCCCTCTTGTTCTGGTTAAAGAAGTCCTACTGATTTGCTCTTCAACTTTGTTTGTAGCTATCAATCTCTTCTACAAAACACTAAAGAATTGATCACTAGGAACACTCCTTGCGTTGGCCAGGAGGAGGACCAGGCAATGTAAGAGGTCTTCTATAATGATGCTTGATGAGCTCTCCAGGAAGGTGGAATTGCTCTCATTAATAGTGTCTGCCCTATTCTGCTCCGATTCTTACCCCAAAAGGAACCCCCTACACACGTGCGCGCACATTCTCTAAGCTGTATTGTTTTCTTCTAGGTGCCAAAGATTGTGGACAGGAGCCACTCCCAGCTCAGAGCCATCCATCATTCCCATGCCAGACAGGTAGTGATGATGGCCTTATGCCTCCTGGCTCGTGCTTTCATGGAAGAAGTGTCCACAGCCCTTCTAAAGTGTCCACTCCCGCTGGACAGGTATGAAACTTCCTAATGACCAGGATACTGAGAGCTCACTCTTTGGGTTCCTTATTCTTTCCTCTCCTCCTGAGATGTCTCAGACGGGCAGTAGCTTCCTTGTTGTGCAGAAAATGTCTTTCTTGCCAAGGGTCGATTACACCACTAACCACTGAGAAATGAGACCCTCTCCGGCTTCCATCCCAGGAAGCTTCTTCTTCATCCATCTCATAATGGCAGGAATCACAGATTTGCCCAGACGCCCTATGTGATATTTACTAACTGTGACATTCGATGTGTGCCACTCGCTTGCTTGGAATGAGTGGAAGGGGGGAAATCCCACTGAGGAGAGCACCTGGGGCCTAAATTCTCAGTCTGCAGAATTGGTGCATGACCACATGTACAGCTGCCTGTGTTTGAAAAACAAAAATCTGCATGTGTACATGGGTTCTTGCGTGCACTGGTACCATTGCTGGACATGCTCTCCCTAGACTCTGGATGCCTCAACCCCAACTTAAAATTCACAGTAGTTGGTGGTGGGGGGGGGAGTCACAGTAGATGGCTGAAGTCCATTGCTCCTGCCCCCCACAACCACCGTCAGATACAGTCCCAAAACATGATTTCCCCAGGCCATTGAATAACCCTCTTCAACCCTTATCCTGTCTCCTCCCCAAACAGCCAGAGTAAAAGATGGGCTTTGTGGTGTGTTCCGAAGGGTGACCAGTCCAGGCTGTAGCAGACCAACAAGGAAAATACATTCCACAGCTCCCACTGTTCTGTATCAAAGGCATTGCAGCTTGAGGGCTTTCAGAAGCTGCAGCTATGGCAATATGTTATGGGGAGAGATGGACTCCCAGGTAACCCAGACATACAGCGCTTTCTTTGTTGGTACCTGTGATGGATTCCCCTGGGGGTGCCATCTGGAAGTGGGATACCACTGAGCCCCCTTGACCCACCAGCCTGGGCTCCCTTTTACACTGTACTGCTGTGACAAGCTGACAAGCTCTCTTCAGGCTTCAGCCTGCACTTTCACCAGCACACATACAGGTAGGGACACACCCAGCTGCAGTTACATGCAGATGCTCTGACCAGCTACTGCACGGGAAGGCTCCAGCTAGGGCATCTCCCAGTTCATAAGGCACGCGGCCCTTATGGAGTGTAAACCCAAAATTATATCATCTTGCACTGCACGGGGGAACTGTACAATGTAAGCTCATGAAATTCGCCCCCTCCCTCAATGTGGAGAGGAATATACCACAGCTTTCTGCCCTGAGTTATGACTTCCACACACTGGTTTTAGATAAAGCAAAACCAAGTTTATTAACTACAGAAGATAGATTTTAAGTGATAGCAAACAGATCAAAGCGGATTACCTAGCAAATAAACAAAAAACACAACCTAAGCTTAATGTACTACATAGATTGATATGGATAGCAAATTCTCATCCTAAGTGATGATACAAGCAGGCTGTAGATTCTTAAGGGGCAAGCTGCACTTGCTTACAGCTTGAAATCCCCAAGTGCTCCATTCACAGGCTAAAAATCCCTTTAGTCTGGGTCCAGCACTTCTCCCAGTTCAGTCTTTGTTCCTCAGATGTTTCCAGGAGTCTCCTTGGGTGAGGGAGTTAGTGAAGAACCCTGATGATGTCACTCCCCTGCTTATATAGCTTTTGCATATGGCAGGAATCCTTTGTTTCAAAGCTTGGTTCCCATGCCAGTCAGTGGAAAAATACTGACATCCCAAGATGGAGTCCAGCACTAGGTGACCAGGTCACATGTACCTGTAGTGTCATAGCAGCTATTACTCGGAGGCTGTCTGTAGAGTCCTCAGGAAGCCTCCCCAGGTGGGAGATAAGCTTCTCTGAAGGCCTATTGTTCTCTCTAATGGCTCATTAACTTTAATGGGCCCTTCCCAGCCAGCCATCTAGACTGAGAGCCTTTTGCCTAGTGGGCGTTCCCCAGGTTAAACACATTTGAAATACAGATACATAGTCAATATGCCTAACTTCAGATACAAAAATGATACCTGCGTACAAATAGGATAATCATATTCAGCAAATCATAGCCTTTTCAATGATATCTCACATGACCTACCTTGCATAAAATACATCATAACAATGTCATAATCATATCATAATATCACTGTGAAGAATATGGGTGCAGTGTCACCGTACCAACACCTGGAATTCCACTTGGAAGCCCATGTGCAGCTCCTAGAACACCAAGGTGATGTGCTTCCCTCCATTCAGGAAATGAACTGCTGCATTCTGGACAAGCTTTCGCTCCTGAATGGTATCAAGGTGTAGCCTAAAGGGGCGAGTGGATTACAGGAGTCTAATCTCAAGGTGACAGATAAGATCAGCAAAATTCCCATGTCCAAAACCAAAGGTCACGCTTGGCTTACCAAGCACGATGAGAAAGTGCCCTTTGGCATGGCTGTGCCCTGGGCTTCAGTAGTAGCCTTGAGTCTAGCATGACCCCAGAGCTGTACGCTGACTCAGAAATAATGGCTGTCCTCCATTGAGGTTAGTGGAGGTGATGTGATTCTAGACAGGTTTTTCTGGTTGTGTCCCACAACCTTCTCACAATCTCTCTGCCCTGCCTGGGCTGAATCTCAGCCAGCTCAGCCTCATCCAAGCTCCAGTCTCCTGTAGATGCGGGGCCATCCAGTCCCATTCACCAGCGAATCAGCTGTAATGATGATATACAGCTGGGTATCCTTCACAAAGAGCAGGCACCATTGCCCATGTTTCCTTTGTCACCCACCTAGTAGTCTTGTGTACACCTGAAACTAGAAATGAGAGCAGAACTCTACAGGATTCCACAGAAGATCAGTCTGGGGGTGGACAAACTATTCCCCATATTCACCCTCTCAGCCATCCCGTGTATATAGGAGCAAAGCCACTTCAAATGGGTTCCATCTACTCCTAAGCACACTTCATGATCAGCCATATCGAAGGCAGCTGACGTGCTGTCTTCATCTGTAGCCAGGAGACAATCAACCAGTGCCACTCGTGCAGCTTCAGTCCCATACCCAGTTCTACACACAGGATGAAGGGAAGCTAAAGACTGCAAATATTGCCAGAGTTGCTTTGTCTCCACCTCTGTGACGATCCTTCCCAAGAGTGGGAGATCTCATACCGGTGGTAGCAGGACCCAGTGGGCTAGGAGCCCCCTCACATTGCAGGCAGTAATGGTCTGTTCATGGCAAGGGTTGTACATCCCCAACCCACTGTAGATGCTAGGTCTGTAATGTGGCCAGGTATATGTGTAGAACCAGCAATTATCTGTGACAACCTCACATGTGTGTGACCTGACTGTATCTTGTAGGTAAAAAATATGGCTGGTTATCGTATAGCAGATTGCAGGTCTGACAGTGGTCTCAGCCCACCATGTTATCTCAAGGTGATGGAACGTGTACCACGGGTCACTTACTGCTTTAGGTACATAGTTTTGTTTCCTTGGTATCTGGGATGAGGCCTCGTTGTAGTCACCATCTCTCTGATGGAGCCCCTGACCCTAGTTTAGGTGTCATTTGTCCAGTCAGACTGTGGTGTGGCAGAGCTATATGTATCCGATCCAGCGTGCGACTGTCTCTCTCAACTCGTAGAGATGCAGCTGGGATGTGGAGAACACTGGCCAACACAGAGGCAATCTGTCACTCCCACAGACTTCTGGATGTGCTGCTGAAGGAGCTTCAGGAGAGGCCAAGTACCTCTGAGGATAGAGCCTTCATCATACCTCTAGCTGTAAGAAACAATTCACACATGACTCTCCCCTCTCTTCAAAGAGGAGAGAGGTCCACGTCTGAGAGAGATATTGCTGTGAATTCTCCCTGGGGAAGGGATGGGGAGCGCTGCCCTGTATCTCTGGCAGAGCCCTGAAAATGCTCCCATTTTCCATTTCTTTGCCTTCCGCAGGAAATGCTGTGTCCCAGACACCAGCCATCTTGTCATACACGGCTGGACAAAGCTCCCTGCGGAGCCCATCAAAGCTGCTACTTAATGACCTGGAGGGGACCTCACTGGTGCCATTTCCTCTGTTCCCCCAACAGGGACTGAGCAGTCAGTCTCCTCCCACTGTCTGCAGCACTCCACCTCCTCCCTCTCCTCTTTTCTCCTTCTCAGGGTCCAAGCAGGCTAGCTCCTGCCTCCATTGTCAGAGGGTGGGTGCACTGCCTCCCATCTCCATAGTGCTTCGTCTCCCCGAGGCCTGAGCACACCACTTCGATAGCAGCCTCAGATACAGCTGGTCCTGGTCAGTGGGACTCAAGCATTTTCCAAAGGAAGTCCGTATCATTGTCCCCATTTTACAGATGGGGAAACTGAGGCAAAGCGTGGGGCAGTGACTTGCCTAAGGTCACCCGGTGGCAAATCTGGGAACAGAATCCAGGTTTCCTGAATCCCAGTCCAGTGCTCTGTCCATTAGGCCATGCTGCCTCTTCTTTGGCATTGAAACCCTGGTCTCCTGCATGGCAATGCAGAGCATTACGCGAAGGGGTGGGGGTACCATGACAAAACAATCCGACCTCTTCTTACTGGCAAAGCCCTGGGCTAAGCAGCCGTGCTGGGGTCCATGCAGCCGAGGACTGGCTATGAAATGGAAGGGCTGGGGAGAGGCAGAGGATTTTAGCTGCATTTGTTTCCCTCCTCCAGGCAGCCAGCGCTCTGTGCGAGGTGTTATCCGTATCCATGTGCACACGGACGGTGACACGCTTCTATCCCCACCTCCTGATGGCTCTGCTTGTTCAGGTGCACTATACCATTGGGCTCAGCCTGCCCGACAGCGGGGTGTCCAGGAAGGAGCTCATCCCTGCATGGTAACTACTGAAAGGACGAGATGCTAACTGTGTATATCAGACTCCTCCCTGGGTTCAGCTGCCTGTATAGGTTACTTGTCATCATGTTCCAGGTCTTTTATGGCTTGCCCCCACCCTCCCTATCATAAGAACGGCCGTACTGGGTCAGACCAAAGGTCCATCTAGACCAGTATCCTGTTTTCTGACAGTGGCCAATGCCAGGTGCCCCAGAGGGAATGAACAGAACAGGTAATCATCAAGTGATCCATCCCCTGTCACCTATTCCCAGCTTCTGGCAAACAGAGGCTAGGGACACCATCCCTTATCCATATCATCTTTCATTCACTATCAAGAGGTCGACTCTTTCCTCCAATCAGCCCCCCAGTGCCAGCCTCCGTCAAACAAGCACCTTCACTGACCCTGCCACATGGGTGGTGCTCCCCATAAACATCTGCCAAGCTATTTCCAATCCCTTCTTCAAATGCTCCTTTGCCATGATGCCTACAAAAAACTCGACAACAGTCAGGTTGCTGGGGTGCTGAGACCACTGCCTGCCATGCTGACTGATACTGGCTCATTGTTTCCTTGTGCTCCCCCAGCTCTGTCTCTCTGTCCTCGTCTCATGCTGAGATGTAACCTGTTTGGAGCGGAGACCGTCTTTCATTTCTTGCTTTGTACAGCACCTGGCACAATGGGGTCCTAGTCCAGGACTAGGGTTCCTAGGTGCTACTGTAATACAAATAAATAATAATCTATAAGACTCTATCGTAGCTCCATGCTTTCCAGATGCTCCCACCAGTGAAGTCACCCCTCAGCACCCCAATGCTCCTCTCTCTTACAAACAGTGATGTTACAGCTCCATGCATGTGTGCTGTGGAGGGTGGAGTGTCACTGATATGTTATAGTGCAGTCTCTTCTATTTGCAGTACGCTTACCCGCAGCATGGCATTGGGCTCAACGGCTCAGTTATAGCACTGCAGGTGCCGCATGGGAGCAGTGCGGGCTTGGTCTCGGTTGCCGTGCTGCCTGTTTTAGGCCTCAGGGCAGTGACTGTGCATTGGACATGCAGTGCAGGGTTGGGGTTGCCATCTCTGACATTGCAGTGCACTGCGAGTCCCATCTTGACACAATGCAGGTATCTGGGGGGATGGGATAGAGGATTGCTCTGAGCAAGGCTGGTGTCGCTTTAATGCGGGTTTTGCTCTGATTGCAGCTGTGTTGTGAAGACAGTGAAGACCCTTCTCCTAAAAATGGGATGCCACTACGAGTTCACCTCTGTTGAGAAGGAGGGAGGCTGGGCACTGCTCACTAGCTCTGAGGAGCACCATCGCGGGGTAGGCCTGCTTGCAAGGTGAGAGGCGAGAGCTTTGCTCTTGACAGATCTTCCCATCCGTCCCTTCTGCCAACTGCTCCCCCCGCCGACTCACCTCCTCTGTAATAAGGGCATCTGTTTGCTCCCACAGAGCCATGGTCCACTATTCTTGCGGATCTTGTACCTTCTGGTCCCGTTCCTCGAACGAGGTGATAAACAGCACAAGCTCACAGTGATGGCCTTTTTCGTTGAGGTAAAAGTTATTGGCTCACATCTATTGTGGTACAAAAGAGCATGAGCTGCATCTTCCCTTTCTGGACTGGTCAGCTGACCTCGGACTCCAAGTGTCTCCTATATCTGATTCACTGAGCTTTTGGGGAAAGCCTGAATAACCCTTGAGAGTGTTCAAGAGACTATGTGCATGTGTCAGAAATAGCGATAATACTTTGCCCTTCTACAGCATCTACCTTCTGAGGCTCTCAAGACACTTTGAACATTTCTCCCCACCACAGCACATTGAGGTAGATGAGTGTTATCACCCCCATTTTACAGATGGGGAAACTGCGGCAACAAGGCCTTAACTCCCCAAGTCACATAAGAAGTCTGTGGCAGAGACCAGAATAGAAACCTTTTAGTCCTGTGCTTTGGTTTGTGCTCCTTCTCTTTTCCTAAATGTAGGTTTATAGTATGTAAATATCTTTTATAGACAGGCCAAAATTCTCAAATGTGGGTACCTGGCTTTGAGTACCCACTCCGTCTTTAGGCACCTGAATAAGTAGCCCAGTGTCCATAAGTGCTGAGCACCGGAGTTCCCATTGCAGTCAGTAGTTGCACAAAGGGGGTGTGGCCAGCACGCTGACTCCCACACACTGGCCAGTGGTCTGAGATCATGGCTTGGGTAGCATATGATTCACCTGCATAATCTCAAAAATCTTATAGTCAGCCCAAGGAATGGGCATCATGCCCACTGCAGACACAAGGGATGGTTTTTGCACTTGTTGGTGCGTGGAATAGACTTCATGCCCACAAAGAGAGAGTCTGTGAACATCTGGAATGAGATTCTTACCTGCCTTGAGCACAAGGAGCAGGCTTCATTCCCCCTCTAGGCATGGCAAATAGACTTCATACATGCTGGAGCATTTACAGCAATTTCATGGTAATGTTCATCCAGAGAACAGACAGACAGCTGTCTGTTTTGCAGCCTGTTATTGGCCTGCTCTTTGTCTTTTTAGCTTCTCCATATGCCACAGGCAAAGCGGCTCCCAGAAAAATATTCCGTGCTCCGTCTGCTGAAAGGACTGACTGACCCAGATCCAGTTATCAGAGCACTGTGCGTCAAAGGACTGATTACCATGGCAGACTGGCCAGGGCAAGTGAGATGGAATCCATTTCATTACACAATCAATATCCATGTAATTACTCCAGAAGTATCAGTAACACTAGTAGAAATCTAGAGTGACTCTCTCTGCTGATGGAAGTGAAACAGACTCCATTCCTGTTTGTGCAGAGAACTGCTGGCCTGGATCAAGGCTAGGTGAACAGCATCTAAAATTGCTCCAGATCCCAGCCTTTCAAAGCAGACCCAGAACCATTTATCTGGATCTGAGATCAGTGAGCAGCATTTAATATTGCTCCAGATCTCAGCCTTGCAAAGCATATAAAAAACCCTCTTAACTGGATGTACTTGAAAATGCTACTACAGATATCAGTGAAACTTTCAAGGAAGAGGCATATCCTCATTGATAGAGCACTACCAAATTCACGTCCATTTTGGTCCATTTCACAGTCATGGGATTTTAAAAATCATAAATGTCATTATTTCACCTATTCAAATCTGAAATTTCATGGTGTTGTAATTGCAGAGGTCCAGACCCAAAAAGGAGTCTGCGAAGTTATTGTAGAGGGGTTGCGGTACTGCTACCCTTACTTCTGCACTGTTGCTGGCAGTGGGGCTGCCTTCAGAGCTGGGCAGCTGGAGAGAAGTAGCTGCTGGCCAGGAGCCCAGCTCTAAAGGCAGAGCTGCCATCAGCAGCAGCGCAGAAGTAAGGATGGCATGGTATGGTATTGCCACCCTTACTTCTGCGCTGCTGCCTGCAGAGCTGGGCCCTCAGTCAGCAGCCGCACTCTCCAGCCACCTAGCTCTGAGTGCAGTGCAGAAGTAAGGCTGGCAATACAGTGACCCCCTAAAATAACTTTGCGACTCCCCCTGCAACTCCCTCTTGGGTCAGGACCCCCAATTTGAGAAACACTGGTCTCCCCCGTGAAATCTGTATAGTAAAGGGTAAAAGTACACAAAAGACCGGATTTCACAGGGGAGATCAGATTTCATGGTCTGTGATGCGTTTTTCATGGCCGTGAATTTGGTAGGGCCCTGCTCATTGGGTATCTAACACTGCACACTAGAGACAGGGTAGGAAATAAATTTCTGCATTATTGGATAAAATGCAATCTGAGGGCTGTGTATGGATTATAGCACTGGTTTTCAACCTGTGGTCCACAAACCCCTGGCGGTCCACAGACTATGTCTAAGATTTCCAAAGGGGTCTGTACCTCCATTCAAAATGTTTTAGGGCTCCACAAATGAAAAAAAGGTTGAAAACCAGTGGATTATATTAAAAAGGGCTAGGATTATACAGTGTCATCTTTTACGCCTTTACATTGTCTATTTTTGGCTACTTTAGTGCCTGGTCATGTCCTAGAAAAATCCGTTTATTTGAATTGTCATGGCATAAATGTGAGCAGAAATCAGTCATGTCATTAGCAATGAAATAAACGCAAAAGGGAAAAGAAAACCTCATGACCGCTTTTGTCAAGGCTGCTTCCCCACTCTGAACTTTAGGGTACAAATGTGGGGGCCTGCATGAAACTTCTAAGCTTAACTACCAGCTTAGATCTGGTCCGCTGCCACCACTCCCAAAGTGCTAATTCCCTTCCCTGGGTAGCCTTGGGAGACTCTTCACCAATTCCCTGGTGAATACAGATCCAACCCCCTTGGATCTTAGAACAAGGAGAAATTAACCATCCCTCCTCCTTTCTCCCACCAACTCCTGGTGGATCCAGATCCAACCCCCTTGGATCTAAAAACAAGGAAAATCAATCAGGTATTAAGAAAAAGTCTTTTAATTAAAAAAAAAGAAAGGTAAAAGAAAACCCTCTGGGAGAGATTAGCATACCAGCTCTCTCACAGACAACAGATTCCAAACACAGAGGATGTTCCCCTGGGCAAACCCTTAGGTACACACACAAAAAATACCCAAAATACCCAATTTGACTATTCCTCTAATTGCACAAGACAGGTTACAAAGAAATAAACATAAACCTATTTATTTCCTTCACTAATACTCACTACTTAATAAGAGGCTGAATTCTGGAGCTTTCCCACTCTGGTCCAAAGTGAAACTCAACAGACAAAGGGAACTTTTTTCCTTCCCTTTGAACCATCTTGTCCTCTCATTGGTTCCTCTGGTCAGGTGTCAGCTAGGCTAGGTGAACTTCTTAACCCTTTACAGGTAAAAGAGGCATTAACCCTTAACTATCTGTTTACGACAGCTTTGTTTCAAAGTTTTTTTTTGTTGTTTTTTTTTATTTGCCTCCTATATTCACACATGGTGAGCCCCAAAAAAGCCTCATACCATAGCTAAGACCAAGAAGTGAATTAGGGGAAGGGAAAGAATGTGACATAGGCTGTAATTTACAGGGAACAGGGTATGAATTCTGTGGAAAGTCCATTTTAAGCTAACCTTGCCATTTTCTTGGGGGCTTTTTCAGTATTTAGAAAAATTCTCACATTGGTTGTTTTCTTTTTAAACTGAAAACCAGAATCCTTGGTGAGACAGTGTGGGGTAGTTACTGCATCAACTTCTTCTGTATAGGAGATAAAGGTCCTGGTGCCAGCCATGATAAACAGCTTGTGTGGAGTGGACGGGAGGCTGGTTGTGGAGGCTCTTGCTGATGTGAGGAAGATTCTCAGAGGCCTGGATGTAGCAAGTTATGTTGGCTGCATCACCAGTCCCCTTAGGCTCCTCTTTGATGATGTAAGACAACGGTGTGTGTGAAAGGGATGAGGGAAGGGGAGCCGAGGAGCATGTCCCTTGCACACCAGCAATCAGTTGTATCAAATAATGGAAGTGAAACAATGTCACTCTTCCTGCTTTCAGTCCCTTCATTCTTGCTCCTGCCCCACCACAGTTGTCTTGTGCCTGTCCCAGCTCAGTGGACCCTGCTGTCTATGACTTGGAGGCACAGCCCATGCTGTAGCCATGCCTAACAGGTTAGGCCCCTACTATGGCATGTGATGGGGGCTGTTTATGGTGTGATACACATATGCCACAGCTACGCATGTTGTACATGGCATATTCAGTCACACTACACACTTTGTGCAACCGAGTGAGGCTGGAAAGAAGAGCGATTTCAGCTCTTATCATATATACTGACCTGTTAAGTGCTGAGTGCCCTCAACTGCTATTGATGAAGTCAGTAGGAGATGAGGGGACTCAGCACCTTGAAAGATCAAGCCCTGTATCTGTATATAATGCATCGCGAACACCATGTGGCACAGCTCTCCCTTACCAAAAGTGTGATGCATTATGGTAGCGGTTCTCAAACTTCATTTCATCGCAACCCCCTTCTGACAACAAAAATTACTACAGGACCCCAGGAGGGGAGACCGAAGCTTGAGCCCGCCCCAAGGGCTTCAGCCCCAGGCAACCCTAGCCCCACTGCCCAGGGCTGAAGCCCTTGGGCTTGGGCTTTGGCCCTGGGTCCCAGTAAGTCTAAGCCAGCCCTAGCAACCACATTAAAATGGGGTCGTGACCCACTTTGGGGTCCCGACCCACAGTTTGAGAACCGCTGCATTATGGGAAATGTAGTCCAACTGGGGATGCTGGCCCATAGAGGAGAATGGGAATACAAGGCACAGACTACAACTCCTGTGGAGCACTGCAATTCCCATTTTCCACTGAAATCTTTTGGCCAACATATTTCAGTTAAAAAACACATTTTCCACAGAAAGCAGGCTCTTCTTGCGAAAAAATAATTGTTTTGTCAAAAGCCCTAATATGGACCATGGAGCAGCATAAACATTGCAGTAATTTTCATTACAAACCAAGAGGAGTACTACTGTTCACTATCAAGACCCCTGTCTTCCTGACTTCCTCTGTTTGTGTCTCTCTCTCAGGAGAGAATGAGTGTGCGTTCTGCTGCCATTTCCTTGTTTGGAAAAATGGTCAAGAAGGTGACGAAGAGTCAGGGGCTTATGAAAGAGGAGGATGTCTTGGACAGCTTGATTCCATTACTTCTGCACCTGCAAGAGGACAACCCTGACATGGCTGAGGCAAGTTCCTACAGTCATTTAGCTCCAAGCCTCAGTCATCACTATCCCCAGACATCTTTCTCCATCTCCACCTTTCAATGTAGGATCTTCTCCTAATCTATCTACTCTAATGTGTTTCCTTCTGGAAAAAACGTAGAGCTTCCCTATCACCTCGTGAAGAAGAAATTCCAGGAGATTCATTTTCATTGCAGGTTATTAACAGTTGGAAAATATTGCCAGTTCCCAGGCTTTTAACTGTGGGAACTCCATCCTGTCTTGTAGAAATGTAAGAATGTCTTGGATGAATGTTATTGACTCCTGGAATGGAGACTACCTAAACAGGTGGGCAACAGGAAGGCTTGGCACAACCACCAAGAAGATGTGGATGAAATCTGTCAGTATCTTGTAAGTAATTTCTGGGTTCATTGTTAGAACTGCGTGTTGATTTGGTTGAGGGAGGGTTTACACAGAGTAAGATACCCATTTTTATCAAGCTGTGTGGGTAGGCTTATGAGGAGTTGTGTCGGGCCATCCCTGTCATTAAGCTTTCATTTTGTGCATTATTGATGTCTTAGGTGAAGAAACATCAGGAAAATGTCCAGAGGTTCTTGTTCTAAAGCCAGTGCTACCTCAGCAGCACACAGCCTTCTTTACGAAGGGCTGCAGCCATATTCATAGGTAAATACAGAAAAATGTGCATTTCTTTAGCAAATTCCATAGAAGCACTTTTTCAATCTTTTGCGCCGTTCCCTCTAGTACTGCAAGTTAATTGCTTTTTGCCAGATACCCTGATTTCTTGACCTTATAGGATTTAGTATTTGGTGCACTACAGAACCAGGAGTCACTCCTGGATTTTGTGCTATCAGAATACCCCTAAGGGCCCCACCCATCAGCAACTAATCCTGTGGGAACCTCCAAGATTCCCCTGGATGCTCCTATAGGAATTTCTCTGCAAAAATGTATGTCATCATCTTGAAAGCCAGCCTCTCAGTATGACCCCAATCCAAAGCTCATTGGAGTCAGTGGAAAGACTCCAGTTGACTTCAGTGGGCTTTTTAATCAAGTCCTATCTCCTTAGCTTCTCCATTTCAGAATTTAGGAACTTGTCCAAATACCTGACGGCATCCTTGTGTGAAAGACAAAAACTGTGCAAGTCCCTATCGGAGGGTGGGAGAGTAACGGGAATTCCCTGCTTTTAATGGCATGTTCAGGGTTCCTGGTTATGCACATGGACAACATGATGAGAATGAAAGATTTGGACATCATAAGTAATGGTAAGTAAATACCTCATTTTTAAATTCCTATGGCCTTGGATGAGTATGTGTGTGTGTGTGTGAGTGTGTATGTGTGTCTGAGGAGGCATTGGGATTTATATGCACAAAGATCAGTACTTTTGCTGTGCAAGAACTGTATAAATAGTACTGGTAATAGTTTGAATCTATACCTCTTCTTCCTCTATGCTTTATTCTTGGTGGCACCCCCAATCGCATGTGTTTGACTACCAGTTCTATCAACACTAATGACTCTCAAATCCACTCTGGACCCATCTCTCAAAGTTCAGTCTCTTTTCTTACACACACTGTCCAGCATCTTATATTGGTTGGCTCACCATTAATTCAAACTCAGTATGACCAGAACTAAACTCTTTTACTACTCCCTTTTTCCAATGTTGTAGGCAACACCACCATCCTCCTTGTCAACCAGACCTGTAACCTTGAATCATCTTTGTCTCCAAAGCCTGCCACGCAATCTTGACTTCTTTTTTGGAGCAGAATTAGAGTGTTGGTGGGTGTTGGCCACATGTAATAGCCGGATGTTAGACAGTGCCAGGTGCCTTCCTCAGAGAGCGTGTCTGTGGTTTCTTTACTCACTGAGCTCTCTGCTGCACAGTTATCAGTTGAGAGCTTTCCTGACCCACACAGTTGGGGTGTTTCTTTCCCCATTCCCCCAAGGGTAGAGCTGTTCCTGTGTGGGAGCAGGCTTCACTCTTCCAGGGCAGTATCCAGACCTGACTCTAGGCACTTGTTTCCCCCTCTGGGTTTTCCTCATTGGTTGCTGTGTTTGGGAGACAGGGGCTATTCCCTCTCTTTGCTCCTGTCCCTGGGGCTGCGGGGGGCTGAGAGGGAGCTGGCCCTGTTTGTGGGGATGCGGGGAGAAGAGGGGCTGTGTCTCAGCCCTGTCCCTAGGGGGAAGGTGGGGAGGTGTCCCTGACTCCCAGGCTGAGTTGGGGGGAGTGGTCCCCAGGTTGGTATGACATGGCAGGAGCTCTCCCTAACCTGCATGGAAGCTGTCCCTGGGTTTGTACACGGTGTGGGGAGCTGTCCCTGATCCCCAGGCCCTAGGGAGGGGGCTGTCCTGGGGTTTGTATGGGGCAGGAGGAGCTGTCCCTGATCCCCAGGCCGCG